CAGATGCTCCTCACAATGCCGGGGCCTGGGGTTGACCGCAGGCGAACCTTGCTCCAACGTGCTAAGTGCGCCAAACAGCCATGTCAGATGCAGCCAGCTTTGCAAGGGATCAGCGCCTCTCACTCCCATTGTCCTAACACCCCCCTGACAATGCAAAATAATCGGAAGCAAACTGCCTTAATGCTGTTCTGAGGCCTGGTTCGAGGCTGAGTTGTCAACGTTTGAATATGTTTAGAACCGTTTTCCAGGTCCTTGTATAGTCACGTGTTACGTGTTTCAAAAGCAGGCCTGTGTTTAGTATTCCTATTCCTACACATATTCCTATTCCATCCATCCATCCACCCATCCACGCATCCATCCATGTCATGCACTGCGCTGCGGTCAGAACTCATCATGTGCTCCATGGTCATGACTTCCTTAAGGAACCTTTTCTTATCCGGGTATAATTTTGTTCCTGGTGAAAGACAGCTCAACGTGAAACCAACCCAATTTCCCACCCCTTGGGTTTGAATCATCTTACAAAGGCTCGGAGTGTTCGTATCTTCTTTCTTATTCATGCCACTCGTGGGTTAGCAACGTAGCACCCGGCATACACTCCTCTTTGTGAGAAAGCCACCTCTGGCCCCCACTCCACAACTCTCCTCTGCAGCCTTGGCTTCATCCAGCACTTCCTCACGACTGGCTTCCCGCCCCCCACCCCCTCCCCCTCAGGCGGGTGACATTCCATTGAGCCCTGAAACTTTTATGCGGCATCGTGGCACCCCAGATTGGAAAGACCCCAGCCCGCCCAGCGCTCAACACAGCATTGGGTGGTCCTGAGCTCATGCTATCTGCGAACCTAATCATGCTTGGGGTTTGCAAACACTCCATATAGGCGTGCAACTTTTGAGGGTACCCTTTTTATGCTGCTCGTAAGGGACACCGAAAGAAACATCGCTACTTGTTTGGGTTACCCCTGTTGTCAAATTGACACACGTATCGGAAGTCTGGACACGCGTCCTCTGGATTGTGCGGGTTCCCCGAGATAAGCGTGCCTTCTCAAGGGCTGGCATGTTGGTTTGTCAGCCTTGGCTCTGGCCTGATATTTTTAGGCATTACCAGTTCAGAGGCATCACCAGCATCAAAGGCATAACCAGCATCAGCAGCAGCACAGGCATCACCAGCAGCCATGGATGCGGATTTGCACGTCACACATCGCCAAACAAAACAGACTCATATTTTTTTCCGGGCCTTCTCCGGTTTTGCGGGCCTTCTCCGGTTTTGCGGGCCTTCTCCGGGTTTGCGTGCTCCCCCAACCTCTGCGTGCTCGCTCATTTTTATTTTTATTTTTCAAAAAAAATACAAAGTTGAGAAGGCACTGTCCACTTGGGAAAAGCCTATGGCCAAAAATGAGGTACCTTACAGTAAAAACGCACATCGGCTTTTCCCCGGGGTATCGTGCCTTCTCAGCTGTTTTTTTCTTCTTTTTTTTTTTTTTTTTTTTTTTTTTTTCGGGCGGTTCCCCCAAGCCGGTTCTGCGTCGCCCTGATCGGATCCCCTGTTTGATTTCTTGGGGATCCTAGCTGGTTTTTGACCACAGGGAAAAAACAGGGTTCCATTTCCAGTCCCAGGGGCCCAGATTGCTTGTGAAACAGCGCCTAAAGAGAAAGAGTACTCAGCGCGTTGAACCTTCGTGTGAGGGGGGGACAGCTGGGAAAGCAATCATCAAGTAAATTTATGTCTGGGTGTAGCGCCCTTTAGAGCGGTTCCAAGAATTGAGAAGGCATGGTCCCCTGGAGAAGCCTCGGGGATGGGGGTCCAGACCCTCGAACGTAAGGAACGTCAACACATCTCAGCAATCAAAAACTGGGCTGCCCTCAGATCCCCTGCCAAAAGTTTAACTTTTAGTGGGTTAAACGGCAACCCCCACTAAACACTAAAAGGCTGAAAAGCTAAGGAGCCGGATGGCTGGGAGCCACCAAGAAAATCAACAAGGCACTTTTGTGCTTTGGCGCCCGAGGTCCAAACATGCCTCGGCATGAGAGAACAGGACAAGCTGGGCACTCCCCGGTGCCAGCGATGCTTGTCTGAAAAAGGGGAAGCCATCGCAAAAGTGAAACAAAAGGGACACCACTGGACAATTCCACCCCAGCTTTTGCCTCTGTCAATGATTGAGCTTTTGGATTCCTTCCCAGGCATGTGAACCCTACAAATGTGAAAGGATGGTCATTTGTGAGTGGAAACGACTATCTTTTGGAGATAGCCTTCCACCAAGTCTCCCAGACTTGCGATTTGTTCTTTGCTCCGGGGGGTAGCCTCCAACCAAGAACTCCCAGACTCTTTTTTTCGGTTGCTCGGATTGGTGATTTAGAGCTTCGAATTTGAGGTGATTGTGGAGCGTAGTGAGAACGCAAGGGCGTCCGCAACTCCAAATCGCCCCATACAACCTACCGATGAGAGCTGACTGCCACGATTTCACCAAGATTCCATGAGCCGCTCTGTGCTGCGGACCTGAGGGAGAGAGAGATCATAGTCTTGTTGGCAAATTCACGGAAAGAACCCCAGAAACTGTGGGTGTTGGGTGGGGTGCATGGAGGTGAGCGGGGTGCATGGGGTGAGTGAGGTGGCTGGAATGGTTATTTGGACTCCATGTCGAGCAGGAAATTGTCTGGGTGATTTTTTGGGTGCAATGGTCCAAGATCCGCCAAGTCGTTTGCTCCAGGGACCTGGAAAATAAAGGACAACTATTGTGGGATCTGGATTGAACAAGATTTTCTTCTTCGCACTTGGTGTAACCCACCAAGCGTGGCGCGGGGTGCGTCTGAAAAAAGGGGGTCCCAAAATAAGGTCACAGTGGCGCGGTAGCGTGAAGGGTGGACGGCTGTTGTGGGGGGCAAGTCATCTCCTCCCAAAAGCGCACGTTCAACTGGTGGTGCAGACTGCTGGCGCCTTCATGAAGGGAAACAAACAAAGTGTCGGAGATGTTGCCAAACGAGATGCCCTTCTCAAACAATAGGAAAGCTACTGCTTCAGACCCACCTACATGAGGTGACTGCCCACGAAAAGGAATTGGATAGACGGCCAAACACGTGAAACGGTCTCAAGCGTTTGGTAACCAGTGTTCCCTTTGAAACCGGTCTCCGATCGTTCAGTCCTCAAACACATCGCCGGCCCCACGGGGTAGCGATCGGATGTGGCGTGCATGGGCAAGCGCTGAGGTCGATAAACACCCGTGTGGCCAAGACATGCTTGGATCGCTCGCTTGGTCATATTCTTGCGGGTTGTTTCAGCTACTTGGCGCCTATGGAAGTACACATACATAAAATCCATCTATGACTCATAGTCGACAACATCAGCTCTTGCCTACACCACATAGCAGCCTTTCTAATTGGAGCCAACAGTTGGGAATCTGATTGCACCCACAAGGCGACTCATTCCATGACTGCTTCCCCAAATCTCACGAAATGATACCCAAATCAAATTGCACACACTTTTGCCCAACTGCATGTATATATATATATATATGTAAATATATATATATATATAACTATATATATATATACACGTCATATTATGTACATACCATGTGTCATACACATTCTCCGTACGCATGTCTTCATTTTGTAGCCTGGTCCCCTCCAGCTTTCCGACTTTTACATGCAGGGAATCAATATAGCAGGGCGCGGGAACAACCGAGCCACCCCCCTGTTTCCCGGACCCTGCCATCCCCGAACGGCGCAGCCCTTGCATCAAGGCGGCGCTTTCCACGGTGCGTCGCGACGGGCGCGGGGCAGCAGCCGCAGCTGTCGGCAAGTCCTGGCGCTTGAAAAGCTACGGGTCGGTGTCCAAGGGAACCTCTTGTTTGAATGGCGGAACATAAGGAAATCATAACAAGGGCAACTATTTTGGGAAACACCCCTGGAGCTTTCTAAAACACTCGCGCCCTCGTGTGTTATTACAGGTCCCATCTAGTTCTTCTCATGCTGCTCATATGCTGCACCGTACTCGGCATCAGAATGCGGCCTGACATGCCCAAACCAACCCTCCATGCTAGTGAGTCATCACAACCGCTCCGTTTCGCATATTTTGGGGCCAATACAGCATGTGGTTCAGCCCGCGCCAGCGCACCAAGGTCTTCAATCGGTCAGTTCCGATCGGAAAGCAAAGTTGCGGAAAGGAAACACCCCCCCCCCCCCGTGAAGTTTGAGCTGAAACAAGCTCGCCTCACGCTCGACCTCCTGCTCGAACTGATCCTCGAGCTCCTGTCAGCTGTCTTGGACTGGTTGGCCTTTTTGCAACCAAAAGCAAACCAGCAGACCAGAGTGGACTCGAACTTTTTCATGTGCGTCAGCCCCGAGGACAATGGCGCCTCATTTAGGCGACTCCGGCTGCAACTGGACAAGGCTGAGCCCCAGAAGCCCCTTCTCCTTGCACAAAAACAGATTGGCCTTGCTCACATGCGACAAGAAATGAAACCTGAACACCGAGTAGAGGTCGGTGGTTGTACGTGCCCTTGGCGCTGTGAGTGCACAAAAAAGGACCAAAACACACACTCATTCCTCCGGGCCGAAGTGACCCAACCGCCGCCTTCGCACGCTCTTCGGAGAGGAAGAGCTGCTCCTGCATTGGAACAGGGTACAGAGCACATGGGCGAATCTTTTTTGTTTCTAGTATTATTTGTGCTTTTCTTCGCGGGGTTGGAACAGCCTTTTGCCTTGCCAGGGTGGGGGCACCACAAGGGAAACCGCTGGTTTTGAATAATTCAGCCTTAGGGGAACCAACATGAAGCTAGTAGGCTTAGGGGCACCAACATGAACGTCAATATGGGCTTGCTTAACCTGGCAACACACCCAACTAAACCCACAGAGTCTTGGGCAGCTGCACTGAAATCTTCCCCTCTGCTCATTTGCTCGCCCAATTGCTGGGTTAGGCCTTGGCTGAACGTTCAATCTGTTTACTGAAAGACTAAGACAAAAAACAAAACCACTAACGAGCACCTGACCCAGTTGGCAGCAACCCTGCTAGAACAAAGGGAGCACAAGAGTGTGGGAGTGTCTTTGGCTGTCCTGCGTGCGCTTCCACATCCGGATCTGCTTGTCGCTGCCAGCAGTGACAATGAAGGACGCGTCCTGAGCCAGCACTCGCGAAACAGGCCGCAACAAGGGAAGCATGTACAAGCCCCTCCGTGTGTACATATGAAATATGGGGGGTGTCTTCTTACATAACACAAAACGGTTTTGGATTGTGCTTTGCAAAAGCAAACCAACCGGAGCCCCTCTTCTCAGAGAAATAACACAGAGTTTCTCTGGAGTTTCCGGAGTTAGGGGGTCCAGGAATAGGATACTTACACAGTTGCGCTGTCCTGCGACAAAGCCATGGCCAAGATCTCGGTGGCATGGCCGGTGAGGCAGGTGATGAGCTCGTAGGAGTCGCAGTCCCAAAGCTTCAGCCTGGCTTCGAGTTGACGTGTCTCAGGCTGCGGCTTGGACCTGAAAAGCAAATGGCGTGTTGTGGTCAGAAATAGGGTAACCCCAAGTGGGTGGAAACATGGACCAAAATCTGCGGTCCAATTCCTGGTGGTTTAATTTTGACCCATACTCAACTGGAGGTCTTGTTTTTTCTTGTGTGGCTTCTCTTTGGACCAAACTGGCAGTGGCACCAAAGACAGAGACATGCATTGAATATATCTGGCGCATTCATCAGAAGTGAATTGAAGTTACTTCTATATCCCTTCGAACATGGGATCTCCACCCAATAACAAATCAAACAGGCCAACTGAGGTTGCTGAAGCACATAAACTTGGACTGCTTCCAAGCCGAAGGGCGACCATTGGACAGTCGACTTCCTGACTCCAAGTACGGGCATTGTGTTCCAATTTTGAGGCGGGGAAGTCCCTCGAGAGGATTTGGGCTGCCATGATCACAATCATTTCCCTTCAACATCATCCCACTGTGCGATTGAAATGGACTATCAAGCTCGCAAAGCGGCGTTGGCTGCAATGGCACAGATGCTCGCATCACGAGTTCCGTTTGGAGATGTTTGTGCATCTGTTGTTCCATGAAGCGATGTAGTTCAGGCATGTGTGGAAAGTAGGGAGTGGCGGACTATAAGCCAAAGATTAATCTCCACTATTTGGCCGTTTGTTAACGGCAGTGGTGAATATCATATTATTTCCTGCATTCGTTGATCGAATACTGGCTGACTCATGAAAGGACTAGTTATGAGTAGGAGACACACTAGCTAGAGTCTAGTTGAAATCAAAGCCTTGATATATTTTATCTCAAGCAAGCAAATCAAACCATGCTTGAAGGACTCTTTACAGGAAATCTTTATGACTGTTGGCTGCCATTTCAGCCCCAGCAGCTTGTGGTCACGGCCAGCTGTCGCCAGGTAGTGCGTTCCAGGCAGGAACCGCACCTGGAAGGAGGTTGGGATGGAAGTACTCATTTTGGGAGGGCAGGCCTCTACCTTTTTGTGCTGTCGCTTTCTTTGTTCTCTATCTCTCTCTCCCTCTCTCTCTTTCTCTCCTTCTCTCATTTCCTCTTGTGGGTGAGACCCCCCAACATGTAGTCACATGAGATGCGACAGCTGGGCACGGCAACCAACCGGATCATTGCGAATGATATGCGTGGCGAAGAGCTGCTCTGATAAATTGGTGGTCAATGTTTGTGTTTTGGACGATTCACTATTAAGTACATCTTCGCAGGTTTAGTCTTAGAAGCGCACCTTGAAATGCGAACAACTCCCTACATCCGCCGAGCATGCTACCTACCTCATTGCTCCAGACGCAATCAACGGCTTGGGAGCACGCCCAATGTTCTGAGGCATACCTCACATTGGAAGGCCAACTCACAGGGACTGGAGACATCCTTGCACCCCCCATTTCAAGGGAAGCTTCCTGAGAATCAAGCATGCGGGTGTTGCGAGAAGGTAGAAAAACCTGGTTCGCCCTCCAAATGAATCTATGTTGCTTCCTCCTTGCCGATGTACCTGAAAAGGAGTTGTCTGAGGCGCCCTTGTTGGTACAACTCAAAGGTGGCAAGAGGCGGAAATAAATACGCTTTCAAGAGTGGCCATGTTGACAATGTGCCACACCCTATATCACCCAGCCGAACATCAAGAGCAGACCTGCTGGACAAAAGGCGAAGCGGATTTTCTGTGCGCCTGCATCACGGACTCCTCGTGTGCCTTCAGCGACTTCAGGCAGTTCCCGAATTGCGTGCTCCACAGCCTGCGCCAATCCCACTTAGCAGCCCAAGGCTGGGGCCCACCAAACAAACGAGACATGTTTCGTTGTTGGTCTTATGTGGTCCACCGCAAATCTGACTATATGTCCAGGGTCTGGTCGTATTTGGTGAATGAATGTTAGAAGAGGGGGTGTAGCTTGGAACCGGACTCCCCTTGGGCCCATGAGGGAATCTCGAATGAACATGGATAAATGGCTATGAATTTGAATTAGGGACCCTTCGGTGGACATGACTTAGGTGGGGATTTATGTCCACCAACCACTGTTGAGGGGGTTCCCCATTTAAAATCATGTCCAAAAAGTTTGCAAGGATTTGGCCGCCGAAGCCCTACACACAGCAGCACCAACCCGCATCGCCATCACGTCTTAGCAACCCCCCGATGGCCCGGGCGAAACATGCTGTTTTGCGCCAACCCGATGGTCCTGCATGACATGTTTATCGAGGTTGCCTTCAACAGCAAGGTGTTTCGGGGTATGCTCTCAAACACATCAAACCTGAAAATAGGGCCCTCGAGGGAAACGGTCTTCCTGTCCTTCTCAGGTCCCATGCCGTGACTCTGTCTCAAAATGAGGGAAATGAACTTCCTTTTAGTTTCCCTTTACAACCAAGAGTTCCCAAGAGACGTTACCTTAATCCGTGCTTTCGGACTCAGGTTCCGAGTCAACCGGCCAAAAGTGTGCGAAGCGCTCCCTAAACGCGCCTCACATTCTTGTCCGCAGAACCCGACGCGATCATCTGCGAGTCGTCGGACACATCCAACGCCATCACTGGCAAGCGATGCCCGTAGAGGGAGAGGTAGAACTTCAGCCTCAGTGGGTCTATACCAACTTCTTCCCAGCAAATGTTTCGTGCCTAAATAACGGATGGTCGTCGTCCAATCTTCCAAAGCCCGTGCATTCCCGTGATTGATGTGAAAGCGTGTAGTTTTCATTTCAAAGACGGAACACCATATTAATCAGATCCCGCAATGTAGGCTTGCAGTGTCTTCTTGTGGCATGTGTTTGCCAATGAGGTTTCAACGTGAGTTTAGCCCAACACATTCTACATCTGTTTCAAGGCCACAGTGCCATTCATCTACTCATGGCAGCCAAGTCCACAAGAGACGGAGCAATGTTGTATGAAGTGGTTGGGGCGATCTCTGGTCTCTTTGTGCGTGTGTGAGGGGTGAATACACACATGCACCGACATTCCGGGGCAACCGTAGATGCAGACTGAATTATCTAGTGCCCATGCGCGGGACGCCCTGCTGCATGCCTGGCATATTTTTGCTTTCCTGCCGTGTGACTGAAAATGATTTACTGACTGCTCAGGAGCAACGAAAAATAACTCAATAGTACGTAGTACTTCCTCCCTTCTGATTGACCCGAAAGAACATACAAGTACACGGAAACACCATACAATCCAGGCCTTAAATAAACATAGAATTGGGGTGTGGGTACTTTGACGCGAAACTAAGCATAATCCAAGGAGCAAAGTTTGACCAGACATCTGGGGACACAAACATCATATTCTCAGATTCTGTGCCATACTTAGTCATTTATAAGCCCACGCCCAATATACAAATTGCTGTGGAGACATCAGAACATGTTAGACCCCTCATACCAGACCATCATACTGAATCATACTGAACCTCGTAAATCATTTAGCCTCCCCAAGAAAGACCAGTGCCTGACCTTTCTAGCCGAGGCCCCGGCGAGTCCTCAAACAGCACGATGATCGTGTGGTTCAGCAAAGCGACATTGATGTACTTGCCTAGGCAACCAACACAAAATATGCGGAGGGTTGCACAATGTGAAATCGTTACAAGGCATTCACATATATGTGTATATCTATATTTATACTATGACTTAACTTAGTTTTGACTTGCCCCCCCAACCACACACACAAAACCAAACACCTACACCACACAAATATGTGTTCACACACAACACACAACACAGAACACATCACACAACACACACACACGCATTTGCCACGGCAGTTCACGTCCACGGAACACCCCCCAAGGAAAAGGAACAACTTCACCCGGCCACAGAGCGTTTGGCCAGGTCTGAGCCCCCCGGCCACTGGCGGAGAAGCACACCGCCAGCAGCTCGTCTGGCAGCTCCGTGGCGCGCTCCTAAGGCTGGGGGGGGGGGGAGTGGAGGAAACACACCCACAGCCATCGCGGCTTACGGAAACCCACCCCCATCACCAAAGAGCAGAACTTTTGGTGGAATGGGCACGCTTGTTAGCAAAACGGCGGTGAGAGACGACTCAGATTGCTGCGGAATGTTGGTAAGCTAGCTCTCTGCGGCATGGCCATCTTTCCTTGGCATTCTAAATGCATATGCATATACATATACATATATATATATATACATGTTCCAGCCCCCCTCACCCCCCGAACACCCCCTTGTGTGAGGGGGTTGGGGGATTGGGGTGTGGTTTGGTGTTGGTTTATTGCTAGTTGGGGTTGGTGTAGGTTTGGTTTAGGATTGTGCTAGTTTACTTTGAGTGCACTCTGGCAGGGTAATAACATGTACATTTTTGTTGGTTACACGGGCCGATGCTACACTGAGAATTTGGAATTGACCTGCGCTCAGGGGCTGGAAGCCTTGGGCGGCGGCAGAAGGGTGTTTCTTCAAGTTAGACTTGGGCTGAGTTGTAAGGGCATCTCCAGACGCGCGCTCCCGTCAAGCAGAATCACAAGACTGAGTCCGACCGATTCGCGAAGGGTACCTCTGTTCCGGTTCGCCACGGGTTCGCCACGGGCGCGCAAGGTTCCCCAATGGCACGGCCACGCAGACTGTTTCGCAGGCGCAGCACTTTGGCAACCTGAAGCGCAGATTCTACTAAACCTTAAGCCTGAAACACATGGCACACTTTCTTCACACTCCTGCAGGCCCGCAGTCAGTCAAACAACTCTGGGCGCTGAGTCATGCAATGTCTCCACCACTTCTGGCGACAGTTGGGACTGTTGCACGCTGTCGGACACGTGGGCACCTCGGCCAGTGAAGGTAAAGTTGGAAGTGACAATGTCCGGTTTTTTCCAGCTTCAGCATCCAAAACATGATGTTCACCAGCGAATGCCTGCCCATCTCCTCAATCAACATGGGGATGTAGCTTGGCAATGGAATAACAGGGTGGCACGATTCTTCCTTGAGAAGTAGCCCAAAAAGATCGCGCCCCCCAAAACCGCAGGCCAGCTTTTCCAACTTGACTTGTCCTCACCTGTCAGTGTCACTGCCGCGTCGTCCTCCAGCAGGATGTGCCACGTGGCTTGGGCAAAAAAAACCTGGGTTTCGGACTTAGGGCTTGGGGTTTCCTTCGTGACTCAAAGTGCACTATATGACCGGCCAACATTGCTGCCGGGAAAGGATAGCCAGCTGATGGTCAAGAGCGATGCACAAAAGACATCTTGCGAAGAGGGTTGAGGCAGAAGGCCGTCCCAGTTCGTGGTAGATTCTGTGGCTATTGGGAATGACTGCCTTGACCGTGGCTGTCTGCTGATGATGATGTTCAAGCCCTCGCCTGAAGCTAATTGCTCCCGCCAAGGGATGGAAAAACTGCTGAGTGCAGCCTCCAAATCTTGAAATGGGTCGATCTACAAAATCATTGCTAGCTGCGCAACAGAAAGTGTCCAAGAGATTCTGCTGTAAACCAACCTTGACGAACTGCCCTTGGCCGCCTTGTCTGCCTCCTCGCTCTCACTGGCATTTTCCTCTCTAGTGTCTTGTAGGTCTCTAATGAGCTTGGTGAGAAGATCCGCCAGGGGTTGCGACGCCCTGTGCGCCTGTGCCTCGGCCGTCTCTGGTGTCTCTGGCTTCTCTGACAGCGCATCTTCGCCGATGTTGACGTGGCTCGCTCGGCCACTGCGTCTTCCAGCTACTCCGGCTGGGGCAGCGGGCACAAAGTGCCACCAACTGCGCCACAGCACCAGCTGCTGATTTTGGTTCGAATTTACAACGAAATTGCACTTTTCTGGGCCTCGGCGCTTTCCAGGTGTTCGCGGGATTGCCCGCCAGCTTTCCTGAAGCTTCCCGGGTTTCAGAAACACGCGGAAATTTCCTTTTGGGAAGGTCACTGCCGGGTCGTCTTTGGGCTCGGGAGTGGGTCGTGGGAAGTCTACAGGTCGCCTCTCATATACGATAGTAAGGGGGGAAAGTTCGGGAGAGCCTTGAACAGTGCAGGGGAGTTGTGGGAAGCCCGCAGGGGAAAGGTCGGGCCCTTGGGTCTGGTTTTGAAACAAACTGCAGCTGTCATAGCTTCCGAGCAAAAACTTGGTCTTGGGGGCTTCCCATCCAGCACGTTCCTACGAAGAGACATGTGCGTGTCGCATGTAGCCGCCTAGATCAGTTCAATTTTTTGGTTTCCCGCGAGGCGATTCGCGGGCCCCGCGCTATCGTAGATCAGAGGCGACCTGTGGGCCTAGACAGAGTTACATGGGGCTGTGCAGATTGCTGCGCGAACTACTTTGTAAGAGAGCTCGCCGAAGCAGTCGCGAACGTGGAGGTGAGCTTCTGCGAGGGTCGCGTTTCCAAGTACTAGGAATTTCACGTCATCCTCCCTGTCATGCCTACGCATCCCGTGCCAGTAGCAGACGAGCCCGCCTAGCCCTGCCAGCAGCGGGAACGTTTGCGTCCTCAAGTCCCACGTTGCTGGTACCACGGCATCAAAGCATCAAGTCTCTGGGGTGTGCGCAGGTCCAGACAGGCTCTCGTTCACCTAACTTTTGGGGTTGGGATTGAAGTGGTTCGAACCTGAGGCTCCGAAACAACGACTCCTTGCAACACCTGACCAGCCGAAAGGCGCAGTGCCGATTCAGGCAGCGCTCCTTGGCGTCGTAGCTGCGCGACCGACACCAACGTCCAATGCCGCTGCTGTTGGCGGTGGAGCCTGAGAGAACCGTGGGAGACAGCTCAAGAAATTTTTTGGTTGCAACACCACCCAGCAAACAAAGCAACAAGACAGACGCCCCACACTTCTTTCAGAGAGTGTGTGCTTCATCGCTCCCTGCGCAGAGGAGGTAGCGACCCACGCGCCGGAAAATTTGGGGTCATCCCCATTGGAAAACGGCAGGTGCTGACATGTGATTACGCAGCTTCTGCGTTTGAGGGCACTGCATCTCCGCCTTGGAGCAAGCGTGCTCCACGACTAAAACCATGGCTCAGCAGCTACGCCGTGCTGTTGCTCATCATTCCTTTCCCACATGTTGGTGACCTTTGAACTCACACCCACAACACCTTGCTTCTTGTCCAATAGGCCACAGTCAATTACCTTCTCTCTTGCGTCATGTCACACCGCGCCCAATCTGACTAAGTCCTTGCCTGCACGGCCGCGCGTCACCGATGTCCTGCATTTGTGTTTGCCAGACTGTGTTTAAACAGGCAATGACGCGCGAAACATATTGACTGCCCCTCTTGGTAGGGGAGCGCGGTCCCATTTGTAAAACCAGTTCACACAGCCAGACAAATCTGAAACAAGACTGCCGCCAAAAGGTTGCCCAAACTCACGTCATTGACACGCATTGCTCTGAATAACAATGGCTGACTCTGGGTGTGAGCATGGCTTTGCCGAAGCCCAAGCTGGTTGGCCTTATTGGAATGGGGAAGGGCATGGGTAAAACCGTGATAACATGTAGAATGTATCCTAAATCTAATCAAGTGTAGGGTTGGCTGAGGGTTGGCTCAGGGGTTCAGGGTTGGTTTAGAATGCATGATGTGTGTTTAGGGTTGGTCCAGGGTAGGGTGTGGCTTCGTGGGCGCAGGGGTGGGCGTGCGGGTTCAGAGGGTGAAAGGATGGGGGTCCAGCTGCAGGGCGCACACTACTGGACAGCATTCCCAGCATCCCAGCATCATGCCATTGATGCAGATAATGCGGCGCAGGGGAAAATGCGTCCAAAGGCGGGTCCCAGACCGCGCCCAAAGGCGGGTCCAAAAGACCGCGCCCGAAGGCGGGTCAAAGACTGCGCCCAAAGGCGGGTCGAAAAGACCACGCCCGAAGGCGGGTCGAAAAGACCACGCCCGAAGGCGGGTCGAAGATACCACGCCGGAAGGCAGGTCAAGGGACCGCGCCCGAAGGCGGGTCCCAGACCGCGCCCAAAGGCGGGTCCAAAAGACGAGCAACAAAACAAGAACGCGAAAACAAAACCGAAAAACGGACCCTATCCTTGAGGCCGGGGGGGTAGGTGGCCTGATAAATGGAACATATATATATATATATATATATTATGGAGATTGAACGATCTTCCCATCGACCGTAAAGTGTCTCTTCTCAGGAACCCAGTAAATCTAGGGTTGACTCCTCCTTTGTTTCAAGTATCGTTTTTTTGAGAAACCAGCCGTTTCCCGGCGGTTTTGGACGAGATGAGCATCGCAGGCGGGCGTCTGCAAAGCTTTGGTCCAGTGGCCACTCGGAGTCCCAGACAGTCTGCGAACCCCTTCCGGTGCCCTTAGAGCAATTACCCAGATCACCGAATCACTCTTGCATGCCACTCAAGAAATGGATGCGCGGCCAATCAAAAAAGGTCATTCGCTTGGGGCGACAACGATAGTTCATGAACTGACTGGCTAGGATGGTCTTTGATCGGGTTTGCATGATCCCGGCGAGAAAAAAAGGACTGTTTGCAGGTTAGTCGAAACCCCATGCATATGCCCAAAAAGTTCAAGGTCCAACAAAAAAGCCGAACTACAAACACAAACGAATGGTTCATCTCCTTCAACAACTTGACATACTTGCTGCTTAGCGGGAAAGCACGAGCCAAGTGTCCAACAACAAAAAGGCCAATCTCTAAATAGGAGAACCCTCAAACGGATGCTTCCGAAGCAACCCCGACACACCCTGTGGATAGGTCCAAAAAGGGAAAGTTGCCATGGCCCCTTGGTGAACATCATTTACTTGCCGCTGTCTGTCCACCCACACCGAACGCATCTCCGCCGGGCGTCGGCTTGCTCCACCAAGGTCACGGAGGTCTCTGAGCCCTGACTCGAACCCCACGGCTCTCCACCAGACGCTAAAATGTCATGCTTCTTTGGAAGGAATCCTTGCGCCGCCAAAGCGTGTTCCCTCCAAGCAAACATGGCAGCCTCAAACCCGCTTGGCATCAAGCAAACATGGAACCTCAAACCCATGGCCAAACCCATGGCAAGCCCCAGCTCTCCGAGTCCCGGCTCCTCCCGGCTCC